GTTTGTAAATAGTTTGTAAAACAGCCAAGTTCTATTTTTTCCCTTGACTGCTTTTGAGCTACAATGGATTTGAGTAGTTGCAGCAGAAACTATGTAGTCTACAAAGTTTAAAACCTTACCTCTGGCCTTTTCCAGAAAAAAACAACGTCAATCCCTGTTGTAGACCAATGTTTTGTAAACACTAAAGTGAGTCCTTGTGGCCACAGGGAGGCTGAAGCAATAGGTTTGAAGCTAGAATTGTCCCTTCTTTCCTTGAAATGTCTCCAATTCTATCTGCAGAATCTAATGTAAGTTTTATAGCGTTTAAAATCAGTGACTTAAATCTTTAGGTACTCAGTAAATACTTGTTTTGATGATGCTGATAATGACAGTAATGATGTTAATAAAGGATATAGTTAAGAGCAACACAAATTGAATACCTATTATGCACTAAGTATGTATAGGAGGAAGGACATGATTCTTTCTCTGCGGGTGGCAATACAATTTTTTTCTCTTTTCTTTAGGATTTGTATTATGTTGTTGAATTACACTGTAATATGTAGTAGTTATATATATACAATGTATATATTACACTGTAATATATATTAGTTAAATGTATAGTATTGACAAAGGTTTATCAATGAGGAGGTGAATTAATTCTTTCCTTCTCTTTAGTTTTACCATATATTTTAAAAATATTTTTTAGATATTTTCATGTTAAGTTAATATTTAAAATAGGCATTCAGGTTTATCCTGTGGGGATTTTCAGATATTTTTTGTTCTTTTTCTTTTAATTTATTTTGCCTTCCTTTTAATGAGATAAAAGTGATAAATTATAAAATAAATTATTTATTTTGAATGATTTCTTTTACTAGTTATTTCTCTATTTAAGTGGAAACAAATAGGAGGAAAGAGAAATAGACAATATAAATGTGAGCAAGGATATATCTAAGTTGCAGAATGCTATCAAAAAAGAGGCCTTTCTTCTGACATAGAGTAGTATGATTTCCTTTGTAAGAGGATAAGTGCTCAGGTCTAAGGTCTTAACTGTTGTACCACCTTCCTTTTAAAGTTCTTCCCCACTCGTAGTGTTCTCAGCTCAACAATTAGCAACTATACCTACCCAATCACTCAGGAAAAAAATGTTTGGCAGCATCTTTAATTTATTTTGCTCTACACATTCAGTCCATCATGAGTCGTATTAGTTTACCTCCTAAACAACCATTGCTGCTACTTTGATCCAACACTTTTATCACATCTTTCTTTGTCAACTACGATTAGCTACCAATGATTCTCCATGTTCAAACCATTGCTTTCACACAATCTGCTGTCTATAATGCAATGATTTTTTGAAACAAAATTATACATTTCAGTCCACTTTATAATGCCTCTCTCCATCTTCACAATTAAAATAAAAATTAAAGATTTTGTTCTGAATTATGAAGATCTAGGTGACCTGGACTGTGTCTGTTCTCCTGATTTCATCTGAATTATCTTCACCCTTGACTCACACCAGAGATGCTGGCCTTCCCTTTCTTCATGCAAGGTGACTCAGTCATTTTGACTTTTTATTCTTTTCTCTGGGGATTTGCTTTCTCCTGATCCTTGCTGTATGCATTCTTTCTAAACAATTTAAATAAGGCTGGAGAAATACTACTATTATTCTTGATGTGGAGATAATAATAGGTTTAGCGTTTGCACTATTTTGCTGGATTTAGGTACAAACATTTTAGTATATAGTTAGTTTAAATATTGTATTCTCAGAGATGTCTTCCCCTTCAGTCCTCTATTTAGTTACTTATTAAAGAATGGCATGTTTTTTAAAAAAAATCTACTTAATTTAGGTATAATTTATTTAAATTATGTTTTCAATTTAATTACTTTGACAAATATATAAAGCCATGTAAACACCACCATGGTCAAGGTAGAGAACACTTTCATGATCCCAGAATATCCCTTTAGGACATTTGCTACCAATAAACTTCCCAACATCCGCTTTCCTGAATAGACATTTCTCAAAAGAAAACATTCAGATGACAAACAAATATATGAAAAAAAATGCTCAGTATCACTAATTATCATGGAAATGCATATCAAAACCACAGTGAGATATTACCTAACACAAGTTAGAAAGACCATTTCCAAAAGGGAAAATAAATGAACGATTTGCAAATTTGGCAGTCCCCAGAATCACAGCAGATTCAGAGATACTCTGGGGATGCCTTGTGGTGAGAATAAATTTATAGACAATAAATAAATAAATAAATAAATAAATAAGCAAATGATGTACAGAAATTGGAAATGAGGTACAGAAGCAACTGGATTGGTTATTCACCTTATTTGAACACAGTTTGAACAGTTAGCAGTCTATTAGTGGTTGAAATATTGCCACTGGGATTGGCCAAGACAGCTATTTTTAAAGATTAATACTCCTAAATTAGGTTTTCAATCTTGTCTACCTATTAAGCTAGGTTACAATTCATATACAAGGACTAAACTATAGTAGTGTGGAGTCCTGCTCAGGCCATATTTAAGTTGCTTTGACGATTCTCTGCTTTCAGTTACTCTCTCAATTTTGAGAGATTGACTAAAAATGCAGTCACTGATGTCACTATCACCATCATAAATATACTCATTTGGTCTTGAAACCCACTATTAAACAGTAGAACAGTAGGTTATACTGTTTCCATCATTTAGGGTTTCTGGTCTCAGCATATCATTCATAGGTTACTGTGCCCTCATGGTCACACATTTTTTTCAGCTTTTGTGATTCCAGTTGAATAGAGACCATTTGACATTCTAGAGATGGCTGCATGTGTACACTTAGAGAGAATATTGCACACCAGGAATACTACTATTATGACTAACAGGAGGATACCAAGAGTTTGGAGTGCTCCTTATGGAGGATCTCCATTAACCAAACCACCTAAAATCAAATAGATCAAAGAATGAGCTAGATTGAGAGTTTACTCACTTAACTAAGTGGTCTTTTTGTTAATCAATGACAACCGAATCTCTATAATATCTGATGTATTTCTCCATAGGCCAGGCATGCCAGCAGCTGCATAGATACTTCTCCGTTTAGCCAATTCTACTATTTAGGATAACTTTCACAAGAGGATTCACAGTTTGTTGTGTAACCATAGCCTTTTTTTTTTTTTTTTTACACTTTACCTACTTATGGCTGTCATTGATATTCTGTATCTTCCATTCTTTGTGGCATAATAAGCAGTTACTTTGAAAGAACTTGATACGGAAACCTACAGGTGATCATTGAAAAAGTTCCCATGGGATGGTTGCAGTCCTCAACATCCATCTATTAAAGTCTGACTTTTAGGAATTTTTGGCTGTTACTCCAGCTTTGCAGTATTTAATTTCTAACAAATGTCTCCAAAGCTTTAGTTCATCTTCACAAGATAGGGAATTGGTAGATTCCCTTTTTTTTTTTTTTTTTTTTTTTTTGTGTGTGTGTGTGTGTATGTGTTGCTTTTTGATAGAAAACTTCTCAGAGGTTCAGCACATTGAGAGTAAATGAGTGTACACAGGAAGGAGCTACAGCTCTGCCAAGAACATGGCCTAACACAAACATTGCAAAGATAAATTTCAATAAATCTTACAAAACAGAAACAAAGGAAATATGCAAAAGAGATTTATACAAATTCACTTGGTCAGAGGGAACAGTTTAATCGGATATAGTGCCTCCTTATCATGCATTCTTTGGTCAGTGGAGCCCTTTGACTGCAGAGGTCCCAAATCAACAATTCTATCTCCTAAACATTATGCTTCCACCCATTTTCTCCCTCTTTTAACTGTACCTACCTGTGTATGTACAGACACGCAATTTAATAAAAGCTTCATTTGGGTTGTGTGTTTGTGCGCGCGTGTGTTTTCAGAGAGTTTGCCCTTGTTGCCCAGGCTGGAGTGCAATGTTGCAATTTTGGCTCACTGCAACCTCTGCCTCCTAGGTTCAAGCGATTTTCCTGCCTCAGCCTCCCAAATAGCTGGGATCACAAGCATGAGCTACCACGCCTGGCTAATTTTTTTGTATCTTTAGTAGAGACAGGGTTTTGCCATGTTGGCCAGGCTCATCTTGAGCACCTGACCTCAAGTGATCTGCCTGCCTCAGCCTCCCAAAGTGCTGGGATTACAGAATCTGGTATAGCGCAGTTTGTTTCTGGTATATTTACAGTTTGTTGTGTAACCATGGCCTTTTTTTTTTTACAGGAAACATTCATAGTTTATTTGGGAAATATTCATATTTTATACAGGATGTACAAATTTAAGACTAAACAATTAAAAAAACACATATACAATTATAGCCGCAACACTATCCTAGCTGCATTGTGGTGATTATGTTGTTCAGTTAGCTGTCCATTATATGCAACTGGATTTTAATTGTGCTATTTACAGAGGGGCCAAAGCACTCATCTCAAGGTAAAGGCGCTCAGGTTTAATGTGCACTTTCACAGCCCTACGAAAACACAACCATTATATACACTGTAAACACCACAGGGCATGAAATCCATCTGCAGCCACAAACATCAGTCTCACAGGATCAAGCATACAAGGTCTAAGGTAAGGTGCCTGACTTTTCCTTTTTAAGAATCCTTTTCATCCAAGAGTCCTACTGTTCTTTTCATAGGACACTATTCACTTATTTCAAATATGGTGCAAGTGCTCAAAACATTTCTGGAACCCCTTTTTTGAGGACTACCTGCAGTGTCTGCAGTGAACTCTTCTGAATGTCCTGGATGGTGTCAAGTCTTCATCCTTTGAGGATGGGTTTGATTTAGGAAAACATGCAGAGTTATTCACAGCCAACTGAATCAAACTGCGGGATATGACCCAGGTTGAAATGTGAGATGCCACTACGAACAACGAGACCAGTTTTCTTGTATGGCTCGTAAATTTAGAGTTTAAAAAATGCCTGAGCAATGGCGGTCCTGATGAAGTACAGATTCTTCTAGAGTGATGACTCAGGGGCAACGCTCATTTGAACGGTTTATCTAGGTGTTTTGCAGTTTTAAAAATTGGTCCTTTTGTTGCCTCTCACGTGGACTTTAGTATTCCTCTTCAGCTTCAGTCCCTTTTGCTTTCTTATGGATTGCCCAATTAAAGCTGTGGCAGGCAGGAACCCAGTGATTGTCATGAAGCCCCAGCTTACAGCCAGGGAATCCTTTCTGAGACCGGTGGCAGCACATCCAATACCCTGGCCCATAGGGCAATGCCTGGCAATAGGGCTTGATATGCCATTGGCACAGGGACACATCCCCTTTCACATACTTTTTCTTGCACTGCTTGCAAGGATCCTCTCTATAGCGTGGATCTCGAACCCAGCGAGAATCTGCTGGCCTGATATTGTAGTACTCAATGATAAACTTGAAACAGCAGCAGGTACATTTAAGGGCCACTAAACTCTTGGTGGGAAGTAACCTGAAGATTTTTACCATAATGTGGTGGGGCAGAAAAGCCATGTACTGCTGAGGCTTCAAAAGCTGCTGGATTTTAAACCTGGTCTCCAAGAAGTCATGAGACACCTGCATCTTACTGGATGCCTCAAGCACTGGTAATGTACTTTCCACAGAAGAGGCTGGTGATAAAAATGGCTCAGCTGACCCACTTTTTTCCTCAGATGCACTGTCACCCTCAGCTGGCTGGCCTCTGAAGCCTGATTTCTTGTGATTTCATTCAACTGGGAACAGTCTGTCGAGTGCTGACCAGGTGGCAAAAACAATGTCAGATGTCCAATTGATGAATCAAGCAAGGCTCAAAGTCCTCAGAGCAAGAGATGACCTTATCACAGACCTACTAAATGAAGCAAAACAGAGGATCAGCAAGGTGGTAAAAGATACAACCAGGTACCAAGTGCTGCTGGATGGACTGGTTCTCCAGGGTTTGTACTAGTTGCTGGAGCCCCGAATGATTGTTTGATGCAGGAAACAAGATTTCCCTCTGGTAAAGGCTGCAGTGCAAAAGGCAATCCCAATACACAAAATTGCCACCAAAAACAATGTTGATGTCCAAATTGACCAAGAGTCCTACCTGCCTGAGGACTTAGCTGGTGGAGTTGAGATCTATAATGGGGATCGTAAAACAAAGGTTTCCAACACCCTGGAAAGCCGGCTGGACCTCATAGACCAGCAGGTGATGCCAGAAGTCTGAGGAGCCTTGTTTGGTGCGAATGCTAACAGGAAGTTTTTGGACTAAGCCTCCGAGAGGTAGAGCTCATCCTCGGCTCTCCTGCTGTGACATGGAAGCTTCTGATATTTGAAGAAACACGATGTCTCTGTAGCTTCCTCTTTACTGCCCTGCTGTTGCTCAGTATTTATCAGTGATGCCCCTCTGTCTGTCACTAACGCCTTGCCTAATTGTTCACAATGGCGGAAAGCTTCATGTAATATGCTCAAGACCCACCTTCAGTTCATCTGAAGTGACACAGTGTCTGGTCGGTTCAGCACACTAGGGGAGGGGCAGGTGGTGATTGCATAGGCTTCCTGGGTCTCCGTTCTACGTCTGGCGTAGAGGTGACATGTCTGGCATTCTCGGCCCTGCATTCCCCACTCTTGAAGCTTAAGGTGCATGTGGCACACTACTTCTTCATAGTCGCTTCACTGTTCCCTGTTTAGGTCTAGAAGTTTTCCCTCTTCTGCAAATGTGATTCAGAATCTAAGCCATGGATGTGCTTTATTTATTAAAAGAGTTATGTGGAATTAAAAAAAAAATCTGGTATAGTGCCTGTAGAATCTGGTATAGTGCCTATCATGAGAGACACATTTTAAATCATTGCTTCTTTTACTTCAAACCATGGAGAAAGGACCTAACAAATTATGCCTCTTAGAAGAATGAAGTCTTATTGGCAATGTTCTCTTTAACCCATGATGTGAGGTAAGAGAAGTGAACCAATGTTCTGTTTCTAATTATGAGGCAACATATGTACTATTAAAGTACTCACCTACATTGGACTTTCATTTTTTATCTATCAAGGTATAAGTTTATTCATGTATAGGGCTGGCTGAAAAATCATTTACAAATAAAAGTGTACCCCATAAGTGCACATAACAGGCCCCCTTTTCATTTTTATTGTTCATAGAGGCATAAACAAGAAAAAAAATTCAAAGATAGTAGTCTCATGATAGGAGAAATCTTGATCCCTGATCTTGGGAAAAGCTGTTCACATCAAAGATGCTATCTTCTTCTGGTGAGAAATTTCCCTGGTTAGTTTCACTTTCAGGGTTCCAATGGGTGTACAGTTACAAGAGTGTGTAGGGACTCTTCTTAATTGTGAGATTATGAACCCAAAGTTCAAGGTCCTAAAGATTTGCTGTAGTGTGGATGGCAAAGACAGTCTTCCTCTAATGCCCTCAGAAGATCCAGTTTTTAGCTTCTAGATTGTAAAAATCCTCAATGAACCATAAAAACTTTTTTTACTTGGTGAAAATATACCATAGTGTAATAATCTACTGTTATAACATCAGCCCTCTTAAATAGGAAGGTTTTTATAGAACAAGAAAACATGCACTGAAAATGATGATTGAATGAAACCCCTTAATAAATGTTCCATCAGATAGCCAAATGTACCTGAGCTTTGATTATCTTCCCAGGAATATGGATTTAACAAATCAAACATTGGTTATAGACTATTTTAGTAATGTGTAAGTCACCACACCAATAGGTATTTAATTTGGATCATTTTATCTTTTCCCTGATGAGTCATCAAATGCAGACCCTTTAATAACTGAAGCTTTAAGGACTCAGAAGAGACAAGGTGGCCATCCTGGTTCTCCATGAGTCCATACTTAACACTGGACTTATATCTCCTTGGATACCAGTTGTTTCTCTAATTTAGGTGCATAGCACTGTTAACTGATAGGTTACTACAGGGAATTTGACTTATTCAAATTGTACATCTAAACAATTGTGGTATTGGCTGATTTAGCATGAAAATCTGGAAAAGTATTTCCTTGGTATTTAATTAATTTTTATTCTACTTGGGTTAACAGTTTTATAAACAAGTCAGTCTTTTCATTAAAGTTTCAGGAATTATTACCCAGTATAATTCTTGGGGAGTTACGGAATTCATGGGGAATTCTTAATCATGATATGATCTAAAAGTTATTAGAAACCTGTATTCATGAGTGCTTTTCAGGGTTATTTTAATCCTTTTATGAATCTCCTAAAAGACATCATATTCTAGGATTTTGTGTGCTTATGAGGATTTCAGAAACTGCATCAGCACTATGCAACTCACTGTGGAAATGACTTTAAATAGTCATGGTAATGACACAATTGACAAGGAAATTTGGTTATGTCTGTTATCTATAATAACCATCACTATTATTACTAGCATTTATTCAGACATATTAGAATTTTAGAAATCTTATACAATTTTGGAACATGTATTAACATCTATCACTATAACATAATCTGAAGAAGACTAAACATTATTTTTTATTTTGACAATGCTTTCCATGTATCTAAACATGTCAAATAATCATGTTTACCTTTCATTTGAGTGCTTCAGAGGCCCTCTGTAGAATCACAAAATTAGAGGTCAGAAAATTTTGAAGCTGAAATTTCATTTTTAGAATCCTATGAAATATGTTAGAGATTTAAAACACTCAGTTTTATGAAATTGAATTCCAGGTTACCACAAGTCATTCATTTAGCCAGAATGATGACTCAAACATTTTAAAAAGACAATCTTACTGATTGATAGAGAGAAGAATTAGCTTTCCAAACAATCCGTCTCTTGTCTTTTCCTTCTCTTTTCAGTAGTTTATTTAAAAAGCAAACAAAAATATTTCATTATCCTTTAATATTATATGAAAATCTTGTTCAAGTGAGAAAGCCAAATTTTACAATTGCATTAGTGTACTATTAATGTCAGCCCTGAGTTTTAATAAAATATTATAGACAAATCATCAATTTTAATTAGTTTTACCATAAGGTGAGATTCTCATAAACAGTTTTGAAAAAGAGCAGTAAGTGCTCTAAGAACAACCTGTTATGCTTTTATTCCAATGTTTAATTTACAGAAAAATTTAATGATACCCCTTTAACTTTAGCCAGGTTACACACAGAATTTCTTTTTACAAGATTAAATTTTCATAAACCTTCCACAACTTGTTCAAACTTTTAGCTTTATCTTACCTAATTTAAAACAATCCTTTAACCCCCTAAACTAGGCAAAAATTTACATTTCCATGCCTTCTAATCTTTTCCTAAAAGCATATTTCACTTTTCTCACGCATCTTGCATGTAAAACTATGTTTTCAGTAGTCTCAATTACGTGTTACAATGGTAACTCTGAGCAAATTTTACTTTTGGTGCATAAATTTCCTTTTATGAATTCGCTCATGACTTCCACAGACATGACATGCTTGGACTTTCTGACTTGTCCGAAACATTCCTCTTTTTAAACTACCAGTTATTTTACTTTAGGATATGAATTTGCCATGCAAGATTCTATCTTACATAAAATTTATTTTCTTTATAACCTTCTGTACATTGCTAGGGCACATGGCTAATTCTACATGTCCCTAGGCTTTCTTTAGAATGTAACACTCCAAAATAAAAAATTTTTAAGTCAAAGAAGCAGTTTATGGCCTTAAAACATTTAGGAAACCTAATATCTGACCTGAATAATTTACAACAAATATTTTTATTTTGCTAATAATCTTTAAACCTATTTTAATTTCCCAAAGATTACTAAAGTTATGTGAGCTAAAAAGCATTTATAGTTTTAATTTTTTTCAAAATATTTGATTTTAACACTTATTTTTCTTTAAGCCAGTTAATTAGAGCTCTTTTATATAAACATTACACACATACAAAAAAAACATATAAATATCAGACAGACAGATAGAAAAAGATCCAGTAGTTGTATGATATTTCATTTACCAGTTTCTAGGTTTCTTAATTGGATTACTGACTTTAGGGTGGGGTCCTTGGAAAAAATGGCTAGGAAAACATTGTTTCTAGAGCCTAACAAACACACACAGCTGGAAGGTAAAACAGAGCTCCAAAAATGAATGGTAACATTTTTGTGCCAGATGCTGTATCCCAAAAAGAGAGAATTAGCCCATCTCCATGGGAGTCTTCTTTCTCACTAGGAAGGGGGGACATTTCCATAATGCCCAGGTGGCCAACAGCATGCTTCTCTAAACCAAACATGCAAAGAGCTGAATATTTCCCCCATTACTGCCATCAGCCATCACTAAAAGCACATTTCCTACTTAGTTATTAAACATCAAAGGCCTTTCTTAATATGGAGCAATCTTGATTATGTCACAAAACCCTTGGATAATGCAAAACAGAGCAAAGCCTTAGATTTTTAAAGGGATCTATCTGCTTTTAATTCCTGGGGTTTCATGAGGAAAACAGAGGCTTGTTCGTTTGTTTGTTTCCAAAAAAGGTTCTTTGGTGCCTAATCTGTTTTGCCAAGGAGTCCTAGACTATCAGAACTTATCTTAGGTCCTCTCATGTGTGCATAAAGAGTGACAAGACAAAATGGATAAAAATAATTCGGTGGACTGAGAAGAAAAAATATTTTTTCCCAAAAACATTCAAGAATGGAAAAAACATAAAGGCCTTTTAAATATATGTATAGCTTTGATATCCTCTTTCAATTAAGCTGACTTTTAAACATAGTACTGTTTAAAAAATTCTTTTTATTATTTTATTACCTGACTTTATCCATGCCAAGCAGCCAATATTTCTGGCTTTTGGACTTACTGAAGGTAACCTCCTAGGTGCTCAGAGAAAGGAAAATTCAGGAGGGTTCGTGGAGAAGAAGAGAATCAACAAATTGTAAAGGTTACACAGATATCTAACCAGAAAGTACTCATTCCTTAAGTCAGGAATTGAACCTGGATGGCCAGTATGAATTGACAAAACCCTTAGCTGCTAAGCTACAGCATTGGGCAGGCTCCATTGACCTTCCCAGAAGAAGTCTAGAGTAGTTAATTTTGAGCTAGAAAAGGCTTTTAACTGTAATTTTTAGGGCCAACTGGGCATGAACCCTAAAATTTCTGTTCCCTGGAAGGTGGAGACCACAAGAAAGTACCTCCGCATGGTTACGAGGTCAAGCTCCCAAGGACATAAAACAAGATGGAAGCCTAATCCAGTTTGTTTGTTTGTTTATTTGTTTGTTTTGAGGAACTGTATCAAAGCTTGTTACTGAACAGATTGCTGGGTCATCTTGAGCCCCAAGTTTATAGGGTCCTAAATCCATGTTCTATCCCTAGGTTACCCCTCAACACAGAAAAACATATTCATAGTACAAAATACACCAGATTTTCTATAGCTTAAGATGAGCCTCAGAATACTTTTTCTCATTAATCAAAACTTTACAGAGGAGATAAATAGTGATTTTTACCATTCATTCAACAGGTTTGCAGAGAGGGTGGCCAGAAGTCTGACTGGTAAGATACTCTTATTCTTTTGTCAGCATGCCAGACTTCTGGGTTCCCTTTCCCTGAGCAGCCCTAGTGACCCAGTTTGCCATCCTATAATCCTGGAGGCCAAGCTGCAACACAAAAGACAGTCTTTTCTTTTATTTATTTATTTATTTATTTTTTTAAATACACTTCACTGTGGTGTTGTTCATTTGCAATGTTCCATTGTAAGTTATCTTTAGTAACTTTTCACCATTTCTGTAAGACTTTGCTACATCTCAGGCCTCATGTATAAGCTGGAAAAAACTCAGTTTTCCCATAAATTA